ATGTACATGTATATACTTGCATCACCATATAAATACATGTACACATGTACAAGTAAATAAATAATTCCTTATTTAATTGTCTTTTTTATGTCACTTCTCTCTTAATTCTTATTAGGCTTTGAGAGAGAAGGAGAGATCAGCTAAGAGACTACCGCAAGATGAAGGAGATTCAGATACCAGCAGTAGAGGACATGCCAAAGGTACAACACATCTTCTATTGTACATGTACATGTAGATAGAATTGTTGAGGAATTAGTTTTTAATTTAATTTAATGAAATTATAATTTTTAGGTTACCATGATGATGGAAGGCGAGTTAAAGATGAGCTTGACATGGAGCGACTTCAAAGACTGTACTCATCACTTAAGCAGGAGACAGAGCAACTGAAAGAACAGGTGGGGGAGAGAGAGAGAGAAAAGAAAGCAGCATGTAATTAAGAAAATAAATGATGAAGTACATGCGTATGTTACTAATAGTTTTTAAAAGTGCAATAATGTATATTCCAAAAAAATGAAATGATCGAGATATCACATGTACATGTATCTAGCATTTCGAGATCTGTCAATTTGAAATTCAATGTAAATTTCAACTAATTCATTATATTCTTCAATAGCTAAGAGAAACAGAGAGGGAGAAGTGGACCCTCAAAGATGAGAATCAGAAGCTACACTGTCAGCTAATAAAAGGTGACCCTTTGCTTCACAAGAGCGGAGAGGGCGTGGCTATAAAAGGAGGAGCCAAAGGAACTCAACCACTTCATAAGATATCCAGCACAGACTGTGACCCGGAGAGACAGCAGGAGAGGGAAGTGCAGTCTGGAGCTAAGAAAGCAAAGTCTTTGGTAAGACTTTAATTCTTTAGCTACCTCTCATATTTAATGTACAACATCTCTCTCTCTCTTTTTTATAATTTATAAATATTATATTTTTTTCTTGTTTTAAAAATAGATATCTGCTCCATCAGAGGCTTCAGATATATATGCATCATCAGGTTACCTTCCCAGCTCTGTTGATGGCGTCTCAAACATTGTCAGTATACTTAATGAAGATGTCACCACTAGTGTGGTAAGGAAGGATTTGTACAATGATAAGAAATGAGTATATAATGTTCCAATTGGTACAAACCTATACAAAAGCACCTCTGAAATGAGGACACCTCTGTATTAAGGACAGGTAGTGTGGGCCCAATGGTGTCCTTAATAAAGAGGCTACACTGTACATGTATTAAGGACAGGTAGTGTGGGCCCAATGGTGTCCTTAATAAAGAGGCTACACTGTACATGTATTAAGGACAGGTAGTGTGGGTCCAATGGTGTCCTTAATAAAGAGGCTACACTGTACATGTATTAAGGACAGGTAGTGTGGACCTAATGGTACACTGTACATGTACATGTATGTTTCTACAAAATTGCTGCATGTACTTCTAAATTTTATATTTATATTTATTATTTTATTTTTCTTTTAGCTTCCTGAATCATTTTCCCCCGAGCAGCAGCAACAGCTGGTCTATGCTTTACAGAACTGCCACAGCATTCAAGAGCTTATCTCTTGTCTTTTCTCCTACTCTCTCTCCTTCTCCGCCTCCTCTCAAGAAGGCCTCGTTGAGAACGAGCAGTTACGTTCTAAAGTGAAGCACTTGGAAGCCGAACATCGTAGACTGAGCACCTCATTTGATACTGTGAAGCACGAGTCAGGTAGCTGCTCTATTTATAGTAACATTCTATTTATAGTAACTACCATATTGGAAATATTTGCTAGCATTCAAACTTTGCAAGTTTAATATATTTTTATTCTTGCTAA